GCTGATAGTTTCTGTTAGCGCAGAACGGAGGAGAAATTTCGTATAGCTCCATGATTGCCATGAACTTAATGGTGCGACGCTGATCTCCATTGTTATACCTATACCTTCCTCCATGCCTCTGTTAAATTCAGGGTCCACAGCAGCCACATGGTAACCGTAGGGCGTACTCTCGTATTTTTTCCCACAGAATGGTACTCATTTATCAGTCTGTGAAGGAAGGAGGGAAGGCGAGTAACCTGACCAGCGCCCACTACTAAGGTCGCCCGATTTAATGAATATGGAAGAAAAGAAGATTCGCTGTTCTTATATTTTGGAATGGTATTTTATAAATTGAACGTAACTGAAAGTTTACTACTTCATTAAAGATTCATGTTTTTCAGTATGTACATAATAATATAATTATAACAACCTATTGGAAATAGCGAATATTGAACTGATGTCGCAGGAGTTTCAATGAGCTGGGTAGTCTTTATGTTTCAGACTCCTGCGAATTACCAGAATTACATTCTCGACTTGAAAATTGAACTGTCAAAATATGCAGCTCAGAAAGTCACGGAAACGAGCTCAAATAATGAAATACTACTTTCGATCATGTTGGTAGAGACGTTTAAAATGTTCGGGGATTAACAGCGTGATTATTGTTAATAAAATGTGTATTTTGTGTTCTGATGTTTTTTGTTTTGTTTTCACTCGTGAAAGAGAAATTGTTTATGCTTTCTTCTGAGATGCAGCATTTTCATGAAGTGACCACAGCCCCTTTCAATTTCTGTATGAACTCAGATGTACAGCGTCTGCTTGCTCTTAATTGCTAGCGAATTCATGGAGGGCATTTAAACCACCACTGCTAGAGGCATCTAATAACATACTTTGTTTTATGATATTATAATGCTATTTCATTACTTTCTGTATATAACACTAATTGTAAGCACTTGGTTCCAGATCATTAACTTACTGGTCATTTGCAAGCTTGCATTGCAAGTAATGATTTTAATCATGTTTATTTTGCCAGTTCCGAGAAATCCGCTTATTTCAGATGTGCCGGCATTTGCCATTACGAAGGTCGCGGTGGTCTGTGCTCAATTAGACTCAGTGCTGCGTTGCTCAAATATCGTCCACGTAAGGATCTCGTAGAAACGCTGCTTCATGAAATGATTCATGCTTACTTGTTTGTGACTCTGAATAACCGAGTAAGTATTTACCCGCAGTTGGTAATGAGTTGTACCGAGACATTGCTTGCAGGATCACGACGCTCACGGGCCTGAGTTCCATAAGCACATGTACCGAATCAACCAGGCAGCTGGAACAAACGTTACGGTCGGGTGAGTTGCACTTTGTTTCGTACATTAATTTTAGCTGGTTAAGGTGTATCACAGTTTTCATGCCGAAGTAGCGGTTCATCGTCAACACTGGTGGAGGTGCAACGGCCCTTGTCGAATGCGTCCTCCTTTTTACGGTTTTGTGAAGAGAGCCAGCAATAGAGCCCCGGCGTCGAATGATTTTTGGTGGCCGCAGCATACTAAAAGTTGCGGAGGAACATTCATTAAGGTCAAGGAGCCGGAAGGCTATAAGAGCAAGAAGAAGACTTCCAAAGGTAGAAAAAATTAATGGTTTCTTGATGTTTTATATATGGTAATTTGTAGGTGAATTGTGGAATTCACAGAACAGCGGCCTGTTACCAACATCCTCGTTGGCCTCTTCATCTTCGCATCATTCAGCATCATCTTCGAAACGTTTCATTCCCAACGAACCTGAAGTTACGAAAAGTCAGAAAACGATTACTGAATATTTTACGCAAAAAAACTTTGTCCCGTTTTTGGGTAAAGGATATATACTCGGTTCTTCTAAGCCATATAACTCCAGTGCCGACAGTTCTAAGTCTACTGCCACGGTTCCCGTTGTGGATCTCTGCAGCTCCCCAGAGTCAGCCTCTTTGCAAGATTTTGGCGAAAAAATGGTAGATTGTCCAGTTTGTCGGTCACAAATTAAATTCTCGCAAGTTAATGAACATTTGGACATGTGTCTGTCTTAAATTTTCTCAGCGAACTTGGTTTAATTTTTTGACCTAAAAAATAAACTTTTTCCCATTAGCTAATCTGTTGAAAGCGTACGACCGAGTGATCACTTCCCCCAATAAATTGTAACTGACTTCTCGCGATGATATAGAATGACGTTTAATTGCGGTTGATCGTTAAATCCGTCATTAACGACATTATATCTAGATTCAACGGCATTTTATCTAGACGATTAATAGTAGAGCCAAACTCAGCAAATGCACAAACTTTCTTTCTAACTTAATAAATGACTTCAACTTTGCTTTAGTTATACGATGTTCAGCGCGGAAGGGTGCATCGATAAAACGCGTTTTTTATTTGTAATATGTTCCGTTTATTTTAAGTGTTGTTCAGTTAAGCTATTGTAAGTTACATCTTAGGTCATATGCAATAATTTTTAATTAAACATTTTTCTAATTTAAAATTTTGGATTCAGTTGTTTTCGGATCAAAACAGGCTGAAATAAAGGCCCAAAACAGCGTCATTATTACACAGTTACTACCATTTCAGCCACACAACACTGGCCTCCTTCGGGGCAAAAAAACTACTGGCGGATATTGTAGTATATACCGAGACGGTACAGTACAGTTCGATGGTCATATGGTTTGGCTGCCTTGTCCATCTTCATGAGTTCATCCTCCAGACAGAGTTACTTTTGTCTCACCTGTAGTTCCGGTTGACCACAAGAACTAGATGACTGTATAGTAAACTGTAGTAAGTACTTCTTTTTTGTTCTCCGAAAGGCAGCGCAGTTTGGCTATCCTCTTCCGAAGGCCGACTGAATTTTTATCTGAATAAATGATGCGTCTTTGACAGTCTTTGTAAGCTTCATCAACATCAGACTTAATTCTTGGGCACTAAAGTAACTCTTTACCTCCTTTTTGTAGGCCGCCACTTCGCCTAATTGTAGTCTATTAACGTTGGGAAGCTGCTTGGTTTTAGCCAGACGGCGTCGATGTGGCACAGCTGAATGGGTGCCTTCATCCATATCTATCCGTGACCAACACCTCACAAGATACTGATCTCTTAATACGATGAGCTGAATGAAAGTTGGAGACATTGACATTAGTTTACGAGGATTGGTTGGCCGAACGGAATGCTGAACAAGCAGTCGTCAGAAAAGGTAAAAATTAGACAATTTTGCGGAAGCGTCGAACTGCTCTCATGGCGCTCTCAAAAAACCATTACAAAATGAAGGACATCTGTAAGTTCTGAATTTGGCAGGTTTGCAGCTTATGGAATGCATAACACAGCTTTACATTCTTTACTATACTTGAAGATGTAACTGATGTTAAGGTAGAAAACGAATCGATCTCCCCTTTGACACAGATGTCTAATAAAGCTTTTAACCAAGCCGTTTCTGTCGTTATATCTCCAGTTCCTTAGGATTTTGGAAGTCAGAGAAGAAAAATGATCGACTAACTTCAGCTACAGATCCAATCGACATTCTCTGACAGTAGCTGTCACGTTTAGTACTTTACTGGACTAGGGTCTCAAAACAAGAAACAGATCGTTGAATCAACGTGCCAGTATCGAACTTTAGCGTCGCACGGCAACAGATGACAGACGCATTTGTCTGTAAGCAACAGCTTGTTGAAAATAATGGTGCGAGTGCACCAATGTCACAAACGATGTCCAGGCCCAGCTGGAAGAAGGGGCAAATCTCCGTTACAAACAAGCGAAGAAATTATTGGCATATGCCATCGGCCGCACTTTTGGGTGTTCTACCGCATCGAAGGTCGTGAACTTGGGCGCTAGGTTGTTTCCGGTAATGGTCATGAACGCTCCTTTGTTATCCATCGTGTCACTAAACACATAATCATACAACATCAGTTAAGATCGTCATTGAAAACGAAAAACACGGTAAAGGACTAAACGAAAGTGAAACGCTACCAGTAATTTGGTGCAGAAAACACCGTGATACACTGGCCGTTGTGAGCAACTTCATAACCTTCTTGTTTCACTTCATGGCTCCTAAAAGCGGGTGAACAATTAGGGAATTTCTTGAGGAGTATTTGCTAAAAAGTTTCAGTATTATAGTATATCACAGTGAATTTTAGCGGTATATGAGTTATTTAGCTATGATTCATTTAGATGAAAACAACTCAGGTCATGTTTAACAAATGCATGACAACGTTTAAGCCTGACAACGTGATGAAGTCCACGGCGCAATACTATCTATCAGCTGATCTCAGCAACGGAGAGCCGACAATCTAAAATCAACGAAAGAACAAAAATGCATGCAGCAATTTTGGAAGACTGAAGATGATCCTACCCGGGAAGCTGTTCCTGAAAAGTGCAGTATTCATTCATTCAACCTGTACTTCCAGTACCAACCTATGGGTGTCAAACGCCAGCCCTAAACTTGAAAGCTGTTCATTAACCGAAAATTGCGCACCGCAGAATGGAAAGATTTATGTTGGGAATAACAAAAACGATACGAAGACCAATGAATGGAAAAGAGCATAAACAGAGTTTACGATGTTATACCCCGAGTAAGGAAGTTAAAGTGGCAAGAACATACTATCGCTGGAAGATAGGCATTAGACTGAGTTCCAAGATAGTAAACGGTTGGTAGGAAAAGCTTTTGATCGATCGCAGGATGAGCATCGAAATGTTTTTGGTAAAGTCCTGGAGATGCATTCATCTAGCAGTGGATCGACAAAGGTTGGTATGATTAGATACCCACCTGACTATGTACTGTAAACCGTTTTCGCGGCAGAACCGCTTTGTCACGTCTGGTCCAAACTGAATGCCTACGCCACGCTTCGACGGACTACGACCAGGAAGTACCTGCGGATCAGACCAGAGCAGATCACACATCACTCCTTCCTCCGGCGGCTGTCTGTTTCGATCCACTTTGCGAATGTCGTCCAGAGTCACGCCGTCATGTGCGAAAAGCCCACCGTGCATAATCTGTGCATAATGTTAAACAACATCCAAAAATACGAAAATCGAAATCTGCCTACCAAAACACTTTTGTTGACCAAGTAAGCCAGCGGCAACCAGTTGAACACTTCAGTGAAAACCTCTGCCATTTGAGAACTGAATTTGCTACGGACCTCTCCCTCGAAACCATACATTTGATTCATCACCTCACTCTCATGATTACCTGTGAAATCATAGCCAGTCAATATTCATTTCCATTTAGTGCTTACCTCTGGTCATGAAAAAGTGATTTGGATACAATAACTTATACCCTAGCAACGTGAAAATAGTCTCGACGGAAAATGAACCACGATCGACAAAGTCGCCGTTGAATAACTAAAGATGCAGAAAGAAAATATACGTACAACAAACTGAAAACAAAACAGGTTTTACGTACGTAAGGATTGTTTTCAGAAGGATAACCGTTCAGATGAAAAATATTCAGCAGGTCATAATACTGACCGTGAACATCACCGCACACGGTCAGTCGACTGCCCTAAACAAACAAGAAACTAGTGGAGTCACACTCGCGGCTAAACTTCGACGGCTAGAATATCTGAACTTTTAGATAAACGGTCAAGAAAAGTAAAAGTCGATGGTGTCAAATTACGATGACATTAGAAAAAACAGTAACAAATTTTTGTAGCACATTTGAAAAAATGAGCACATTGGTCTAAGTTGACTTAAAAAGCGAACACAAGCATATGACTTACGTAAAGACCACCAGAAATATATGCCTGCGAACAAAACATACACAAATGTAATCTACACGACAGTCAAAGAGTAAAAGTAACAGTTGATCACCTATGAAAAACAGTTAATCTGCGGCTCAAGGAATGGTGGAGGTCTGTTCAGCAGTTGAATGTCTCTGTCCCTGATTAGGTATCAGATGATAAGGGTACGGAGGATTTACTAAAAGTCAAGTTAGACATCCACCCACTCTGAAGCGGTTTCTCGTAACTGCCATTCTGGAGCACAGAATTTCTGTAGTGATTGATCAGTGTCCACAATGAACCTTCCGCAAAGTGTAGTAGCTCCACTGATAATTGAGGTAGCTGCCTGCCTTATTCCGACGTTTAATCCGCTCTGGTAGTAGCCTGAGCAAGCCTGCAATGGCCACGTAACAATAGATACCGTTTTGCAAATAAGGAAGATTATTCAATTAAAAATTAGGAAAGTTGGTAAAACACTGGAGTGAAATCAGCGAAGAGCCTAAAACAAAAGTAATGATAGAGCGGCCATCTTGTAGGGTAAATAGACCCATATCATATCGATTACTTTCCTTTTACTTCACCTGTCAAAGAAGTACGATGCTTACATGTGAAAAGTGCTTGGCAGTACTTTCCTTGTGCTGCGGCTAAAGGGACTATAAATACCGATATATAGTAAGTAGCGAAGTCTGAATAAATAAAAGAATTTTTTTATCGTTCAATGTGACAAGCTACAAAGACGATGTTAACTTCAGGTGATCTTTATTTGCTAGTGGAACAACTGTTGATATCAGTAAAGCGAATCCTTACCCAACATTACTCTATGACCTTAAGTCCATTAAATCTGCATACACTAGGTTAATGACATGTCAGAATATTATGAACACATAATTGCTCTTGCAGCTCTGGCTGTCTCAGAGTCGTGGCTAATCAAGATAGAATGGATCGTCGACAGAATTCCGTTCGAGGCATGACGCAGGGGCAAAGTTCGCTGAAACTTCCGGTGCAACAAGTGACTGTCATCATCCAGTCAAATGACAGTTTGCCGCACCTGTTATTCTCGCAAAGTGGCCTGCGATTTAAGTAGAAATTCTGCTAATCCTAGCTATTAACATTACCGCTCGACTAGGTAACGTGAAATCTTTCTTCATTAAACCTGAGAATACCATTGGGCTAGAATAGGAGATTAGTGCTGATGCATGCAAAAACGAAGAGGTCACCTTCAGTAGGAGGTGACATTA